ACTGCCTCCATGTCCATCTGGGCATTGGGGCCTTGGGGCCATCTGGGCATTGGGGCCTTGGGAGCATTGTTCCCAGGTTCCTGCGTGGGTGCAGTGGTGTAGTGTTCCAGGCTTGCCAGGCCTCCCCTGAGCCTAGGTCCTGAGCTGGAGACCTTGGGGAGGGTGCTACTCTGCCCTAGAAATAGAAAACCTGAACTAAACACCATTCAGACCCTGGTAAGAGCCCAGGGCTGGAAGTTAGGATATAAGGGTTCTGGTCCCTGATTTGTCATTCACTTCCTTTTTTTTTTTTTTGAGAGGTTTTCGCTATAGGGCGCGTGCACTCGCCAAACAGAGAGAGACAGAGACAGAAAGCAAGAAATCACCCCCCAGAGGGGATGGCCACACCGTAGTCCCTTCTCCTCCATTCTCCTCTCAGGATCTTGGGCACGCACGCACACAAGCCTGGCGTGAGTTTTAAGCCACCGGGTCCGGGACGCGAACTGTGGTCGACTACATGGGAGTCCAGCGACATAGCCATGATGCTAACTGCTGGTCCCCTCATTCACTTCCTGAACTCCATTTCAAGCCTCAGTTTCCTCATGAGGAGACTGGCCCTAGATTATCTAAAGGAGGAAGAGAGGGGAGCTGTCCATAGCAGTGGGGAGTGGAGGCTGAAAAGGAGCAACTTGATTTTTTTTTTCCCCCAAGGGTGCATGTGCTTGCTGGAGACAGAGACACAGAAAGTGGTGAGAAAGCACCTCCCTGTGGGGGAATGGTCATGGTGCAATCCCTCCTCCATTTCTCCCCCCTTTCAGGATTTTGGGCACACACATATCTGGCGTGTTTTTCAAGTTGCCAGGTCTAGGACTTGAACCACACAGCCATGTGGAATCCAGTGACCTTAACCACCATGCCACTGGCTGGCCCAGCAACTTGGCTTTTATTTTTATTATTGTTTTCTTAAAACTAGTTTGTTTGTTTTGTTTGTTTGTTTTTAGAATTTTTGAAAATTTAACTTTACTTAATTTGATCAGAGAGAGGCAGAGTGAGAGGGAAAACAAGAAAGCAAGCCGCCAGGTCAAGAACTCAAACCACAGTCGGCCATGTAGGAGTCCAGCACCCTTAGCCACCAGGCCATAAAGTTTACTTTGTAAACAAAATAGTCTCTCTTCAGGTAACTTCTGTTTCCCAGACATCGACCTTTTTTTCCCCCTGGAAGTAGCAACAGCCACTTTTTTTCTTTCCAGGGCTGGAAGTTAGGATATAAGGGTTCTGGTCCCTGATTTGTCATTCACTTCCTTTTTTTTTTTTTTGAGAGGTTTTCGCTATAGGGCGCGTGCACTCGCCAAACAGAGAGAGACAGAGACAGAAAGCAAGAAATCACCCCCCAGAGGGGATGGCCACACCGTAGTCCCTTCTCCTCCATTCTCCTCTCAGGATCTTGGGCACGCACGCACACAAGCCTGGCGTGAGTTTTAAGCCACCGGGTCCGGGACGCGAACTGTGGTCGACTACATGGGAGTCCAGCGACATAGCCATGATGCTAACTGCTGGTCCCCTCATTCACTTCCTGAACTCCATTTCAAGCCTCAGTTTCCTCATGAGGAGACTGGCCCTAGATTATCTAAAGGAGGAAGAGAGGGGAGCTGTCCATAGCAGTGGGGAGTGGAGGCTGAAAAGGAGCAACTTGATTTTTTTTTTCCCCCAAGGGTGCATGTGCTTGCTGGAGACAGAGACACAGAAAGTGGTGAGAAAGCACCTCCCTGTGGGGGAATGGTCATGGTGCAATCCCTCCTCCATTTCTCCCCCCTTTCAGGATTTTGGGCACACACATATCTGGCGTGTTTTTCAAGTTGCCAGGTCTAGGACTTGAACCACACAGCCATGTGGAATCCAGTGACCTTAACCACCATGCCACTGGCTGGCCCAGCAACTTGGCTTTTATTTTTATTATTGTTTTCTTAAAACTAGTTTGTTTGTTTTGTTTGTTTGTTTTTAGAATTTTTGAAAATTTAACTTTACTTAATTTGATCAGAGAGAGGCAGAGTGAGAGGGAAAACAAGAAAGCAAGCCGCCAGGTCAAGAACTCAAACCACAGTCGGCCATGTAGGAGTCCAGCACCCTTAGCCACCAGGCCATAAAGTTTACTTTGTAAACAAAATAGTCTCTCTTCAGGTAACTTCTGTTTCCCAGACATCGACCTTTTTTTCCCCCTGGAAGTAGCAACAGCTACTTTTTTTATTTATTTAGAGAGGTTTTTGCTATAGGGCACCTGCACTTACCAGAAAGAGACAGACAGAAAGTGAGAAATCACCCCCTCCCCGGGGGGGAGGGCCACTCTGCAATCCCTTCTCCTCCATTCTCCTCTCAGGATCTTGGGTGCACACGCGCCTGGCGTGAGTTTAAGCCACCAGGTGCCAGACTCAAACCCACAGTCAAGTACATGGGAGTCCAGTGACATAACCATTACACCACCTGCTGGTCCCCCCACTTCTTGATCCTTGCTGACTTACCCCCTCATAGAAGGGGGTTCTCTCCACTGAAGGCAGTTGGCCCTGGAGCAGAACAGCACTGACGCCCCAGCCTCACTCACTGCCAACGCTGGGGGCCTGGGCAAGGCTGGCCTGTGAGGTTCTCATAGCACAGCTGCTGTGGCCCAGTGGTAACAAATGCTGCCCTGTCAGGCTGGAAGCCATGTGGTCAACCACAGGTTCAGATCCCTGGGTTGGCCTGAAAACACCAGGCACCCAGGATCCTGAGCTTAGGGCTGGGTAAAAGGATCAGGGCGTGAGGAGACACTGTGGAGGGTGCTTCTCTTAGGTATGCATGTTCTCTCTATCATAGAGAAAAGAATAAAGAACTCTTGTGTTCTCACAAGCGATCCGTGCTGTCCATCCCTTGCTCCTCACCCACGTCCCTCTCCTGCTGTGTCTCTTCCACACTTCTGATTGTCCTCCCCGGCCCAGCAGGGCCACTGGAGGGCACAACTCAGTGCTGTCCTGATAAACCCCCTCCTCTCCCTCCCAGCCCCTTCACACGCTGCCGTCACCTCCCACAGCAGTAACTGGCACTTGACTCCACAGGACCCAGCTGCCCCACGGCCCTCTCCAGTGCAGGCTGGTCATTTTCCCATGCTCTTCAAGGTCAGATCACCAGCCTCTGCTCCGCAAGCCCACATGTACTCCGTCCGCCCACACACACACCCTCTGGGGTTTAAGCCATACCTCTGGCCTCTGCCCACCTTCCTCCTGGCTACTCCCCTGCTCTCTGGTTACCAGCCTTCCCTCCATCACCACCACCACCATCCTAGTGGCCTTTGGGCTCTTTGTACCACGACCTCAACTCCAAAGACCTGCCCCTCTGCTCCAATTCAGCCACACCATCAAACCTCTTCCTGATACCAGGAATTCAGATGCCACCTCCCGCCCCATAATCTCCCAGCCTGCCATCGTCCAGCGACTGCTGTCACACTACCATGTCTTCCTCGGCAGGACATCTAGCTGGTTCTCCCACTGTCCCGGTCTGCCAGCCTCCTTCAGCCCACCAGGTCTCCTTGTGTAGCCTGAATGGCACGCTTCATCACTGACTGCTCTCTTTGACTCCTCAAGCCCACTTCTGCCTCCCGGATGAGTCCAGAAGCCTTTTTCTGAGCAAATCCACAGCAGAGAAAGACACCCAGCCTTGGAGGTCAATATTACCCACCGCAAGTGGGCCCTCCGCACTGCCCACAATGCCTCTGTACAGTTCCCAGAGTGCCACTGTGGGGAAGCACAGGCCACTCCCCACCTAACTATGCCCCCTCCTCTCTTCCTTAGGGGCTTTAAGCCACATTTCAGCTCTCTTCCTCCTAGATGGACACCCTCTTCCCAGTCCAACAACTTCAAACAGCTCTAAACAAGCTAAAGTCTCTCATCCGCAAAATAAATACACCCTCTGTTGACTGCAAGTACTCCCCATAGCCGTCCTCCCTGCCTCCATGTCCCACCCTCTGCTCCTCCACAAGGCTGCTCTCAGCCCGGCCACTGGTGGGCACCATTCCCTGCTGTCCTGGCCGGCCGCGCGCCCTCGTTCCTTGCAACGTCACTGCTGCTTGCCCGTCTCTGGCTCAGTCCCCTCCTCCGGTGACCCCAAGGTTGGCGCTCCTGTGGGGCTTCTTCCAGGCCTTCTGCTCCCCAACTCCCACTCCCGTCAGACTGAACCCTCCCATCGATGTCCTTGGACAGGGGCCATGCAACTACTTCTGACTGCCTCCGCTCAGGAGTTGCCGGGGCTGATGGCCGAAATCCAATTACCTTCTCTTGAACTCATTTCTGTGACTCCTCTTCTGAGTGGCAGCCCCATCCATCCCGTCCCAAGACCTGGACCCAGCATAGTTAAAGGTCAGTCTTTGTTCAATAAGTGAATCGTTGCCCCTCCCTCATTCTTCGCAGCCCGTCACCAAGTTCTGTGGGTTTTACCTCGTACTGTATCCGAGTTCATCCCCTCTGCATCTTTCTTGAGACTGGCTACATACTATAACCACTAACCACCCTTCAGGATTCCCGGGCCACCCCACCCCGGGAGGACAGGGGTCTTGCGCGACAGCACGCCCTGCTCTGTGACAGTCCCACCAAACTGGAAGCCCCTTTTCCCTAAACTCCAAGGGCCAGCACTGAGCAGGCGCTGGTAAATTTGCACAAATGGAGCGAGAGAATCGAACCACGGGCAAAACGACCGCCGCACAGCAAGGCACGCCACGCGGCAGGCGCCGACGCACGCCGAACTCCGGGAATCCCGGATTTGCCCCGCACGCTCCAGCGCGACGACAACGTGGCCGGGCGAGCTCCGCCCCCGCTCCCGCTCCGGGCGGGCGGGGGACACAGCGGCGCCTGCTCCGGACGCTATGCTCAGACCAGCCAATGGCA